ACTCGTTGTAGCGTTTAATCGCCTCTTCGTCAGTAATAGTATCTTCTTGAGTACCAAGGAATGCTTTGAATGACATCATGGGCGGCTGGGTTTCAATATTTGAATTACTAAAATTGCCTGCAACCTCTCGACTGAAAACAATTATATAAAAAAATATATTATGTATGTTCTTCAATCACAATATAAATATTATAAGGATTAATCTATAATACAATAATTCATCATACAATATATTTATTATATATATTAAGCTATTATATAGCTATTATAGCTATTATTTTGTATAGTTAACAAATATATAAAATAAAGCTCAAAAGAATCTATTAGTAAAAAATAATAAAAAAGCCCATCAGAGCCTACATCAACTGTATATATTGATTTGTTACATTCACACGAAAATAAAGTATTTTCTATGCATCCGAACAGCTGATTTTATTATTTTTTATTATACAGTTAGTTAGCTAGTTTCAATGCAAACATTAGTTTGTGCATTAATATCTTTATCATTGAATGGAAATATATATTTCTTATCTTCTTTAAATAAAAACAGATGTTTAAAGAGAAGTAACAATTGTATAGTTTTCTGCATTTAATGAGAGTTTTGCATCTTATAAATGTAAATACCTTAATTTAGCTAATAATTTTGGAGTCAAACGACTCCGTTTTGGCGGAATTCTCATAAATCCTGCTCTCTTCATCATTATTTATTTGTCATAACAATCTCACAAAATTCAGAAAAAGACTTGGTTATAATAAAACAAACGAACCTGCTACTATTATTATGGTTGCCATAGTGATGGTTGCCATGGTGAGGAGAAGCATAATTATCTGGGCTCCAGGAATTTCCACCTCCTCCACCACCACCACTACCACCACCACCACCGCCACCACCACCACCGCCGCCGCCGCCGCCGCCGCTGCCACCATAATAATCATGTCCATATCTCGGCCTATCATCCCATTCAAATCGCATTCTCTTCATAGGTGGTCCCATATCTTGAGATCTCGCAGGACTGTAACGATCACGACCTCCACTTCCACCGCCTCGATATTCTCGATAATCTGGACGTTGTCTAGGACGACTGGACCATTCTCTATAAAAATCACAATCAGTATAACTAGAACAGTAATGGCAAAAAGCATAACAACAAAAAATTATATAAGCACCTTATATTACAAATTCTTTTTCATACGATATGCGAAGATACATTAGATTTCTAATAGATTATGGAAAGCAAGATAAAAATTTTATTTGTCGACTATACAATAATTACAATATATAATAAGATTAGATGTATATAACACATTATGTACCTATCAACCCAGTCATCACGCCTACGATCGTCTCTGCGCTCTCGTGAATATGACTCAGTCCTCTCACCTCTAAATTTATCACGCCTTTTTCTATCGTATTCATCGTCAGAGTCAGCCATTTTCGCAAGGTACTAAACCTTTATATCAGAAATAACACGTAAGAAGCTGTTTAATTAAGATACATTAGTTACATATATTCCATTCAACGTGCTTGAGAATAAGGTTAGGTGCAAAGTTATAATTAATGCAAACTAATGTGAATGGCCTTTTCCTATGAAGTCGTGATAAGAAAATTGGCGATGATTGAAGCTTCCTTCAGTGCGAACGAGTATCTAAATTCTCGACACTATTAAAATGTTAAAATCGAAGAATTTTTTATCCGGAAAGAACGTGATAAAAACAGCGATCCAACGTGTTTTACCACTACGCTTCATTCGGGAAAGCAGCCGTCACGTATAATAAAGATGAATATTAGATGATGATACGATTAAATTTTTTCACTTACGTGTACGCGCCACCCTACAACGCTAAGATGAAAGCAGATAAACTATGAAGGCGAGTCAAAAATTTCCTTTAAAATAACGTAAAAAGAAACTCACCGGGAACTCTTGTCACCAGTGGTCTCCACTTACGTGAACTTTGGCTACAGTTCGCTATCGATCGACTCTCGCCGCTCTCGCGTCTCGAATCGACGCCTTTGCACGAACGCGGGAAATTTCAATCTCAAAATTGGCGCGAAGAACCACATAGGTATCTGAGGTAAATCGTTTTTTGTCATTATTTAAATGTATAATAAAAAGTTTATATATATAAACTTTTATTATATATATATTATATGTA